AATACTGTTTTGCATAAGCTGCTTCTGACTTGGAAGACAGATGTAGTTAAACCAAACAAGAGTTTATTAAATATTGCAGTTGGCTAATAATTCTCTGGCTAGACTAGACTTGTGGCAATGTCAAAAATTCAGAATTACAATTCAAATTATGGCTAACAAGTGCTTATATAACAAGAGATGTTAAGTCAGTATAAATTTGATCGTTTGAGTCCAGCTACGGGCTCAGATAGAAAAATGAAAGCCCCATTGCGACTTTCAGCTACGAATGAGACTGGGACAATTTTTGATAGGTAAATTTGAAAATTAAAGTTGTTTTCTTTGAAAAATTAACCATAAGGGAGTTTTGCTAAAAGAAAACACCAACACTAGTGTAAAGACAGGTTGCCGACCGTCATAATTTAAGTAGGAACTTAAGTGGGAACTAACACTACAAATGCACTGTTGACTCTCGGATGCACTGACTCTTATATCCAGAGATATAAGCAATTTATCACTTTCATTTCATTTCTGAATTGTACTTTTAACTTAAATTTAGTCAACAGTTGTTCTTCCTGCCACAGCATGCGCGATCCTAGCTTTCCTAGCAATAAGATGGCTTTACATCTCCACAACCCAACTTCTCACACGTAGCTAGCTCGAAGCCCAGTTCTTCTAAGATTTCATAGCGTTATGGTGGCCAGATTTTTTTAAAAATTGTGACTGAGCTCTTATGTAGAATTTATAAGCACTCCTTAATCTACATTAGTAATCGAGTGCTATGGAACAGAAAAATCCTTCAGAGATTGTGCATACACTGTAACGTTCAGCTTGTGCTACTGCCCAAGAGTCTTGAGGAAAAGAGCATCATCTCTCAGGTACGGTATAACAAACCCGCTATGGCTACGCTTTTTCCAGACTAGAACCAACTCACGCCTGACAAGCTCAGAATGCAGGCAGGGGAGCACAAGCCGCTTTGTGTCTTTCCACAGCATACCTCAGGTCAATGGAGTTAAATTAACAACAGTAATGCAACGCATGTTTGCCTATTACACCACCAGCAGAAGAGATAAATCAGCATTTCTGACTCCAGCTAAAAACGTAAAAAAAATTTACAATGCTAAATAAATGTGAAAATGTAACAGAAGTGAAAATGTTAAATGTAAAAACATATCAGAAGTACTAGCAAGTTTCTTCACATGAATTCCCCCAAAAGGGGAAACATCACAGTCAGAGAAACTGCTAAAAAATACTCTGATAAAAATAAGGACGAGACTAGATGTCTAGTAACCAGAAACACGCTCTTATTAATGGGGCACTAATCCAAAACTAGTCAAGGCTGCTAACAGCCATGCTTTATTACTATACAGGGCCTGGTGGTGGTAGTTGCTGGCTAATTCCTGGCATACTCAAGATTCCCACGGCAGCTCATCTGACTTTGGTAAGAACAGCATTTTCGGTCATTTCCATGAGCACACCTATCCAGGAAAAAGCAATCCTATCCCGCAGCATTCAAGCTCACTTAAAAAGAAAAAAAAGCATACACACACACACACACAAAACCATTCAGATAAAAAA